ACATCATTTTGACTGGGTATAAATTTTTGGCCGCCATCTTGGATCCGTCATATTGGATACAAAGTTTTTTTTTCAAATGTAAAGGCAGGGTTGTGACCCATCGTTTTAAACTAGAATTGTATGCTGAATACGATGCTGCAATCCGTTTTTAAAAATCTTGATCCATTCTAAAGTTATGAGAACTTTTTATAACATTATTTTTAGCCCATTTTAACATTGTGCATTTAGAAACTAAGTACATAATCGCAAAATAGTGCTAGATAAAGATAAGTATAAAATGGGCTAAAAATAATGTTATAAAAAGTTCTCATAACTTTAGAATGGATCAAGATTTTTAAAAACGGATTGCAGCATCGTACTCAGCATAAAAATCTAGTTTAAAACGATGGGTCACAACCCTACCTTTACATTTGAAAAAAAAACTTTGTATCCAATATGACGGATCCAAGATGGCGGCCAAAAATTTAAACCAAGTCAAAATGATGTACTTACTACTCTACAATGATCTGACGTGGTCCGGAGTTGATATCTTAAGAAATGTAGAAAAAAGTAGGGGGGAACTCATTTAAAACTCACCCTGTATATTTATCTTAAGCAAAAACACATTTTTAGTACAGATAAATGTTGTTTAGTAATACTGTAGCGTTTAATTTAAAGAACCTTTTAAAAAGTCAACGATTGTTTAAAGTTCAATGTTGTGGTTAAGTTTATGTCGTTTAAAGGAGTATTGCTGTCATAATTCACCACAACAGATTTATCCAATTGAAAGAAATTATCGTAGAAATAAAGGTTTACTATCAGCTATACAAGTTAATCGAGAGAGATATCCATTATAAACTCGACGATTAGTGCTGTTTCAAATACGTTAGAGGGTTTTCAAATCAATTTCTTTTCCTTACTTTCTAAACAATTGTGCGATTAAGATCTTAGGTGTATAATTTCCCAATTTTTGAGTAGAAAATGTTTGCCTGGCTACAGAAATGACAATTTTAGAATGCAACAAGGTTATAAAGTAGGCAAAAACATTGAAGATAGAAATTATAAAAAATATTAAGGTACAAACTCGAGTAACGGATGACAAATTAATATTCTGTCACATGGGATCCTGTCGTTGGGACGTCATCGAATGTAGTTGAAAACAATTTTCAGCAAACTACGATTCTACTATAATTTCATATACATGACCGGAAAAACACCGGGACAGATAACTACTAAACAATACTAAAAATAAATAACAGTCACAAAACTTGAAATAAAGTTGCTAGGCATAAAAGCATTTTAACTTATTTTCAGTACGCTACCTCCTCAAGGGCAACATAGGACACAGAACGAAAATCTTAAATCCAAGCATGGGTAGACACTCACATCAAATAAAAGATCTTTAATGGTCAAATACAAAGCAGCAAAACCCGAATTACGAAAACCGAGTCAAAAAGGCATTCGTTGAAAGATTTCCTGAATTTGTGATAGAAAAAGTCCACTAAAACTCAGGAGAAAATCTGTAAAGTAAGTGTAGGTTGATATACACTTCAAAGTAAAGGTATTTATGAGTAGAATACAATGCCGTTTCTTGAATTTAAATTATTACACCACGCTGATACTGGAAAAATTCTTAAATTCAATATATCTTTAAACGGCGTCCAATTTCACTACATAGGTTTTCCGTTTGAATTTAGATTTGGCATTCTACACTTAAATACCTTTAATTAGTTGTGCATGAACCTATGATTACATGTAGGTAGGGGCTAGCGGGCCGTCCTTCTGTGGCGTATCACTGAATAATGTGTTACATTATTAGTTATATGTCCAGTAACCTTGATCCAAGTTTTGCAACTCTAGCTGTATTATTCTTTAACATATTTATACGTCCCAAGACATTTTTGCCAGCATGAATATTAAATATTTAAAAAATACTAAAGATTCTTTATATAGGTATTGAATATATTAATCAAATCAGGGGTCAGCCACGAGGGGTAGCTTTTAAGGAATCCTTTTAGGGTTAGATCTGTCAAAAAATACAAACAAACAAACCTTACTCTAACTTTTTATTTGTTAGTCATTATGGTCTAAAGAATATTACATATAATATTTATTATGTTAACAAATTATACAAAAAATAAATGATCTTTTTTAAAATCACGACCAAATAAACGATGTGTATGATAAATCAACATTTTAATTTCGGGAAAATAACTACTAACATCCAACTTAGCAGTATAATATCCTCGTCACAGCAAACCTACAGACTCATCGAGATTCTAGCTATGGGTTTCCTCTAAAAAGTTAATAGTTGAAGGGATTTGAGACGGCATTTTTTGCTCGACATATAACAGTCTGCTACCACAAAAACACATACTGTTGATAAATAATTATATAGAGTCAATTGCAAAATTCTATAAATATATTACAATAAAGAAGTATACTGCAGCGATACTTATTAGGGATAGAGAACGTGAGAATCAAGTGGGTTTGGTTCTTTAATAACTGGGTAACCAATATGCGTGGAGTAAAAGTATAACATACTAATTTCCTTGTATGTTAATGCTGATTGGAATGATGACAAGATGTTTTCAATAATAAATCATGTTTAGGTGAAAAAGTGAGAAGGGGTAATTATATAAGCCTGCAAACCCCAGACCCGTGATCGGACAAAACTCGTTCGAAACTTCAAATATAAATAAAAATCGGCGACCTTCTACAAGAGTTACTATATCTTCCACCATGAGTGATTCAGGAGACTGCGATTCTCCGATAGTTTGCTTGCAAACGATTCACAAAATATTGTCCCTCAGTAAAGTGAAAATACAGGGATGTCATTATTACAGTATCAAATTATAGTTGGTAAATCTTTGTTTATGTTTTGGTCTTATGACTGTTTCCGGCGTTTTTGTTGTTGTTATTATTGTTGTTTTTGTTATTATTTTGTGTTTTACATTTTTGTAATCCCATATAAATTTATACTATTATAAAATTGAGGTGGTGTCTATCTGTCTGTCTGAGCACGACTAAAATACTAAACCGTTACAGCAAAAATTAAGCACAAAGATGGTCCACACATCTAGGAATGTCATAGTCCTATTCACTTCCCTGAGTTCCTCTAGGGCTACGCCCCTTAGATGTCCAAAGTTTTGAGGTGAGGATTTCAAAAGTAAATATTAATTGGTCTCCACGGAAGCATGAGAAAATTCACAATGTTTACCTTTACGTTTAGATTTAAATGTAAACAACCAGAACTGCCAAATGCTCATTTCACAATTTCAGACAGCTGATCCAAAGAAATTAAATATATTTTACACAACTATGTGGTATTATTATTTAATCTTAAACTTTTTGATGAACTATTTATTCTAAATATATTTTAATGATAACCAAAATGATTTTTCTCCCCGTCGCGAAGCACGGGTACAGCAGCTAGTTAGTAATATAAGACCGATATTAACAATATATGAAAAAAATTAGGAGTAATTAAATGATTACACCATTCCTATTTATATAATTTAAAAATATGTAAGGTCTATTCCAAATTTGATATCCCATCACAAACATACCACATTTTGTAGATGCAGGGGCCTACATTAAAAGATTAGGGAAATATACTCATACTAATTAGTATTGTTTAGTAAATGTTTTACACCTTTATATATACAATAAACATGAAATTATCTGAACAAAAACATTCATTGAAGTGTACTTTTGACTACATTAAAAAAGTACATAACCAGCAAAACATAGTATATTACAACTTTTGGAATTGGTATACGATTGTGATTCATAAAACAGAAATATATTTCCTTGCAAACAAAAATATATAGTTGCTAATAAATACATAATTGTTGCTATATAAATATAGTTGCTATATGTAACCAACATGTAGCTACAGGGCTGGCGGTTTAAATACAAACATTGTTATAAATTATATAATGTTTATTTATTTTCATAGGGTTGAAATATCTGAGAAGAAAATTAATAAATTAATCAATAAATATGAAACTTGCAGTGAAGTTTAACAGATCCCATCACAACAAATCGTAGAGAAGACCGGGGTTCGTAGCCAACAGATTAGTAAGACTACACATAATCGGGCTTCGAAATCAAATATAGGTAATCTGTAATTGATTTTTATCGTCCGCAATGAATACCAAAGTTGCTGCGTGTGTTCTTTTAAAACGCAATTATTGTATTGTGACATTGTTTATAAGGTATATTAGTCATTATATTGTATTAATTCTGCTTCTTCTTGCATATATTTATTATGTACTTATTTTGAAATGAGTCTGTAATCTATATAAATGTCAATTGGATTTTTTCAAATTATATTAAGTCAAACCTGTATATTTTTACCGTAACTGCTTATATTTAATGTTTTTGAGACTCTTGAACAAATTAAGTTGCTTCTCTGTAAATCGCATTTGACACAAATTAATAAATCAAACAAATAATTATTAGAAAATTCAACCTTAAATTTGTTCGGATGAGAATAACACTTTTGTGGTTTAACTTTGTTCACATTAAAATGAAATACAAAATTTTGGACTAATCTTGGAATATTTTAAATATACATAAAATTGTAAAAATTGCTGTTTACAATATGGGAAACATTTCCCTAAATGCGGATCCTGAGGCGAGTAGGTGAACCACTCTTATAACTACTTAATCCGCTTAATAAAACTGCATGATTAATCATTATAACAACAAAGATATCCTTAACTCATATTGATAATGACGAGTCGCACACAAAAGCTGCAAACTGATTATTTATGAATTGTTTCAAGTGAAATACAAGATATTAACAATATAGACCTGTGAACTTTTCTAAATCTGGGAAAGTAATAAGATTAACAAAACAAATTACCGTACCACATGTCATTTACGGTAATTCAAAAGTTACTCTCGTGGTCCGAGGTGCGATACCGGTACGGTCAGCAGCCACTAAGCGCTCAGACCGTAACCGATTAATGTCCCAATTAAAATTAATTGAACAATTAAAATTAACATCCTACCTGTTGGTGTAGTGCCGGCATGTCAAATCTGGTTATTTCTTGAAAAACTTACTACGCGAATAACGAACGTTAACAATTAAATAACAGAATCGGTGCAGCGCGAACCGACACCGAACATCAACAATAAATAGTATAAATATTAATAAAATATTATGTTTAAAACACGTTAAAATTACTGTACAATAAATAAATAACAATGCTTTTTAAGCGTATAAACTACATGACCGTGAGGTTCGGACGTCGGCGACTCACTGCGGGCGGAATCAGCTGTGAGCGGTCACGTGATGCGGTCCGGCGCTCTCATTGGCTGACGATCGACCAATCAGAACACTCTCAACACTCCTGCATCCTTATCGATAACAATAAACGCAACAGCTGGTATATTCCAAACATGATAACATGATTTTCTGCCCCGACATGTCCGCGGGGTTCCTGGCAAGGGTTAACTTGGTTGTAACGTGGTCGCCAACAGTTACATGTCTCGAGACTTTTATGAGATTGCAAAATATTTTAAAGATAAGGAATTTTCCAAAATCGTCGATAACATACGAGACTACTTAAGAAACTAACCTGGGTATAAAACCGCAAACTCAAGTCACTTTTAAGTGCTGTTGTATACAATTACAAATTAGTAAAGAATGTTGCACTCGCTTGATTGTAATGATATTTATTATATTAAGAAATGTGTGTTAGAATTCAGTTATACATTGTTTCAAGGGCAAGTACATAATATAAACAATGCTAGAAATCTGTCCGAAGTCTCAACAGATAATTATTCATTTTTAGCGTTTCGCAAGTAATTAAACATTGTTGTGGTAGATCAATGGATCCCTTAAGGTGTTCCTTTACCTGCTAATGTGGTAAGCTCATAAGCAATGCATATAAAATAATGTGTTACTAAAACCGGCAAGCACTAGCTATAAACTCTCGTCCACAAATAATCATTGCAGGTTTGTGGATGGTATGTTTAATACACGGGGCAGCCACTGCTAAGAAACCGAAGGTGTTATACAAGCAAAACATAAATACAAACAGTTAAAATAATAAAATAGCATCTTTCGCGCCAGGATGGAATATGTTTTGCAAGTTCGAGATCCGTGTTACACCATGCAACACTTCGCCTGAGGAGCAAACATTTTAACCGCACTAAGATCATCAAACTATTAGGTTAAATAATGAATTAATCCAACCAGAGACTATTAATTAACTAACTAATATAACATGAGAGGTACAACCTCAAAATTATATATTTCTTTGCTGTAACCACTAATCTGCGATAAACAGTTATTTCTGGATAGATTTCAGAGCAGTGAAATTAAATTGAGCAAATCGATTGCATTTTATGAATTTTTATGAATTAATAAATTAAAACAACGGGTATATATGAAAATAAACTACTTAATAATTGAACTTATCAATTAGACCATTTAGACTTCCCGTGTGATATTAAAATTTGAAGCAAAAAATATATAGTACAGTAAAAATATGTTTTGACCCAAAAAAAATTAGCACAACCGGGGAATTCGGTACAGATGTTGGTTGTACCTTCCTTTTGAACATACTAAAAGTCCCCTAAAATTGAAGCTGTGCTACGGCTGCCATATTGGAAAATGGCGGCATATTTCTGTAATTTTCGCTATAGTGACTTTATTATTAGAGATACAGGAAAAAGCTAAATATACAAAATGTAGGTCATCTAAAAATACACATTTTTTGTATTTACCATCTTTCTCTAAACCCAACGGTTTTTGAGTTATTTGTTATTAAGTATATTTAGTTTTTTCTATTTATCAAAAATAGGCGAAACACATGGAAATTGTCCGTTACTTTCAAGGATTATGATAATTTATCCTATTTAGTTAAATAGTGTGATACTATAAAATCTAAAAATTTAAGCTTATTTTATGAGTAAAACAACTCCGCCACAGCAAACCTGCAGACTCAGCAAATTTCCATTTGATTGGATGTTTTATTAAAAAATGTATATAAATAAAATTAGGTTCAACAGGTACCTAGGTTTGCTGCTACAGGAAGGTTATTATAGTGTTTTTTTATTTTTATTTTTTTTTATATCAATACCTTACTATAAAATAACTAATTTTCCAAGTTTGATCAAAATATATCTATAAACAAGCAAACTGCAACAGTTAACTAATTCATAAGAATAGCATGGGAGTTTTAAATTTACAATAAACAAATTTGAATATACAAATTTTGGTTGTGTTTACTAAAAAGATGGCGACTATTCGTCACGATTAGAATATTAACCAAATGGGTTTTCAAAAGGAGATGGAGCCTGTTATTTAAGTAATATTAATTCGTACCAAGCACCGAAAATATTGTATGCAGTAAGGTAATCTACCATATTTTGTAAAGTACGCAATAGTCATATTAATATTTTATCTTATTTTTTATCCATTTAATAGTTAACATTTTAGTGTTTTTATGGCACCACCACACTAACTAACTATAATTGACATCCCATTGTAAATTTGGAAGGGTGTTTTTCGTGTCTAGTTCATGTTGGTGACTAATTAAGCATGGTATAGTTAGTTTTACAGTATTTATCAAAAATCGGTGAAATCCATCGCAATCGACGGTTACTTTCAAGGTTTACGACAATTATTCATCCCACTTAGTTGATATCAGAGTGATGGTGGTAGTGCCATCAAAATATTAAAATGTTAATTTATTAAATGGGTACAAATGAGTATAAAATAATAATATGACTATTGCGTAGTTTACAAAATATGGTTGATTACCTTACTGCATACAATATTTTCGGTGCTTGGTACGAATTAATATTACTTAAATAACAGGCTCCATCTCCTTTTGAAAACCCATTTGGTTAATATTCTAATCGTGACCAATATTTCCGATACTTGGTACGAGTTAATATTACAGTACTTAAATTACTTGCTTCATCTCCTTTTGAAAACCCCTTCGGTTAGTATTCGAATCGTGACGAATAATCGCCATATTTTTAGTAAACACAACCAAAATTTGTATATTTAAATTTGTAAATTGTAAATCTTAAGCTACCATGCTATTATTATGAATTAGTTAACTGTTGCAGTTTGTTTGTTTATAGATTTATTATGATCAAACTTGGAAAATTAATTATTTTATACTAAGTTATTGATATTTTACTAAAAAAAACACACTATAATAACCTACCTGTAGCAGCAAACCTAGGTACCTGTTGAATATGATATTATTTATATACAATTAATAAAACATCCAATCAAAAGGAAATTTGCTGAGTCTGCAGGTTTGCTGTGGCAGAGTTGTTTTACTCATAAAATAAGCTTAAATTTTAAGATTTTATAGTATCACACTATTTAACTAAATAGGATAAATTATCATACTCCTTGAAAGTAACGGACAATTTCCATGTGTTTCACCTATTTTTGATAAATAGAAAAAACTATCTATACTTAATAACAAATAACTCAAAAACCGTTGGGTTTAGAGAAAGATGGTAAATACAAAAAATGTGTATTTTTAGATGACCTACATTTTGTATATTTAGCTTTTTCCTGTATCTCTAATAATAAAGTCACTATAGCGAAAAATACAGAAATATGCCGCCATTTTCCAATATGGCGGCCGTAGCACAGCTTCAATTTTAGGGGACTTTTAGTATGTTCAAAAGGAAGGTACACCCAACATCTGTACCAAATTCCCTGGTTGTGCTAATTTTTTTTAGGTTTATGGAATTTTTCTCTTATTTTTACTGCACTAATAGATGAAGTTCAAGATCATCTCACCAAAGTTTACTAGTATTGGGTTGAATATTAATTAAAATCAATACAGCATCATAGCAAACAGCTGATTGATTTATCACTTAACACAGAAAATTGTCATTAGTTGGTGACCATCTCAACAGATTGCACAAGGTTTTTTGGCTTCAAATATTTACATTACATGGGTAGTCTATTCTGTGTATAGTAGAATTCTGTGTGTAATAGTAGGATGTTAATGGTTAGACTCAGAACTATTAATATCCATCGTATTGTTATAAGTAAAGAGCCAAAAGAGGTGGGTAGAAATTCCACTCAAACCAAACTGCATGCCCCAAATATTAGACTTTTTAACTACTACAATTAGCATCATTCAGATTTTTTGCTGAAAACAGTTTATAACCGCCTTAAACATTATGGTTTATGTTGGGAAACGATCAATTATACGTAGGGAGCTAGTATATTTAACTAAATCATGCAACAACAACAAAATATTTGAACAAATTCAGTTTGAGAACATCTAAAACCACTCTTGTGCGATAGAAAATAATTTAAAACACCAATACCCGAAACAATACCAACATAACACAGCTGTAACATTAGTTTTTTCGAGATGAATTGCAGAGATGAAAAAAATAAATGCCATTTGAAGAATTATGAAATCGTGAAAAAAATCCTTCATTCTTCTAAGGCGATCTAGACAATCTTTAGAAACATGGAAATAATTTTTATTGACATTTGTTTAATCTATTTGGACATTTTTTCATCGTCGTAATTCACAGCCTAAACACAAACGAAATAGCAAATAATCAAGTGTGGTTTTAGTAAAAAATCCACATGGCAACTTGGAACGCTAATTCTCTCACTTATCCTGCCGATAATGTTAATACTTATCGAAAAAGTACATTTTATATTAACATATTTGACCTATCTTGATGAATATTACAATTAGTGTAAAATGAATGTTGCCATACTCCGTTTAAAGTAATCAATAGCCACAGAAAGGTACCTGTATAATACATTTACATTATTTCTATCTCATTATCAAATACGTACCCTTACATAACACATCTTGCATGGGACTTTAAACTCATTCTTAGTTAGGACTAAAATACTGATTTTGTTAAATTATGAACTGAACAACCATTATCATGAAACCGATCGCTAATTAGGTATTAATCTGATTTCAAATTACACACTAATATAAGTAATTAGTAGTTAGTATTTTTTAACACCATTTTACAGTATTTTAAAACTTTACAATTGTTTTAAGAGACGCCATATTTCAGTTGGTCACAGAATTAAGTGATTTTTTACGTTTAGAGTAGGTAGCTTTGTTTATGATTAAGTTACTTTTTTATAATCTAAAGACAATCTTGAGAGGTTAAAGCACTGTCGATCTTACAATAGTTATTTCAAATAGGCCTATTTACTGAACAGTTAACTGTTTAGAAAATTAAAACCTTAAATATTCTTGTTGATATACTTATAAAAATT